GGTTGAACCAAAATATAACTACCCATTCTTAACCTAAATCTTAGAATCCTCAGCTTTTGGATTCTTGTTCCTTTGACTTGGGCTTGAAACCACACAAATAAAGCAACGAATGGAGGAGGGCTGAAGATCTGAAACAAAAACATGAATAGAAATTGCTGGAGAAACTCAGCAGGTCTGACAGCATCCATGGAAAGAAAGCAGATTTAACATTTCAAGTCCAGTAATATTTCTGGGAGTCACGATAAATACAAGTTGTTGCCAATTATAAGGATTCTGCTCAAACTGCATTAAGTGCATTATTTTGGACCATTAGCAATGCTTTGCACATCCTGATTAAGCTCTTAACCTGTCTCCACCTTAAGGTCTTTAGGACACCCATCACACCTGAGAATCCCTCTAGTCTGCTCAATTAAGCAAGACTGGTTGTGGCACTGTTTTAAAAGGAACACTTTAATTATTTGACCATTCTAAACTAGAACCAGGTCTTTTAATTTTTCTTAAATATAGTTGACTTATCAACTCGAAATTTCAAATCGTCAAACTTAACAAGTACTCCTTATACGTTAACTGAGGTTAGAGTTAATATCACATATTTATTTTCACTCTAAAAATGCAATCTGAGCGGTCTTACTACATTGCAGTAGTGCCTAATTATTGCAATTGAATTAACTTGCAGAAAAGTAAATTATACCACTATACATGAGTACTGGTACAGTACGCTGGTTTAATATATTGTTATCAGTGTAAACCTGCCCAATATGCACAGCGGGGTCTACAAATCTCAAATTAGTGGTTGGGACTGACGCAAGTGTTGGAAAGAAAAGTAAAAATGTAATTTGCATAACTGGGCAAAGGTTTTTTTTAGAAAAAAACTTATGCTAACTGGTTAATTTAAAGTATAATTACACACCACGTCTCATGGGACTTTGGAACTGGACAATTTGAGACTGGGTGGCATTTAATAACGTCTCTTGATTTACTGTAATTGAAGATCATTACAGTTTTCACAGTAATTTTCTTCAGTATTCACTTTTATTCACTTGCTTTAAAAGATTAAATGACATTTTTATTCAAATATTTTCTTGTAACAATTTTGAAACACTAACCATTCCAAATGTGCATCACACAGCAGAGAATGGAGTTCGTTCATTCTTCGGCGAAAACTAAAGATGATATCATGGCCTATCACTTTATCACCTCTTCACCCAGCTGAATAGTAAAAAGCAAAGCTGCACCCATCATAAACACTGGATATTCCAAACACTTTGCAGCCAAAGAAATAAGTCAATTATCCCTAGAGATAAGTAACTTTTAAAAAAATGTAGAACGTCCAGTTAATAGTTGAATGGATGATACAAAAAGATAACAAGTAAATTAGGAGCAACATTGACTAAACACTGTTGTATATGCAGCTTAGAGTTTAAATTACCATACAGAATTTTCTCCTTCTACTGGTAACACAACCAAAATTCCCACTTCAATGTTATACTGTTCATGAGGTAGACAGTCAATTCTACCAGAACCAACCTAAAGGGAATGTTTAGTTCCAAAGGTTTATTTCCATTATTTACATTTCCTAACCTGGTAACATTTAACTCTGTGGCTGTATTTCACAGTGAGGGTTTTTCCCAGAGTTTTTCCTCTAACAGTAACCAGGTGGTTCTTCCTGCCTTGACACAAATGTCCATGAAACCCCTCATTGCTCTGTCACTCTTCCACATCCTGGCAGAAAACTCAAGGGCTGCAATCCTTCAACAGCTTCCTGACAATTAACCCCCTCTAAAAGCTCATCTCCATGGCAATGCAAACCATACGGATCACATATCCAGGCAAAAATAGTGATCAGCTATTCTTTTAGAACACATCTTTATCTTATCTTGAAGTGAATGGTCAGTTTGAAGTATGATTGTTCTCAAAAGCTGTTATTCTAATCCTTTCCTGGGACTTTGGAGATGAATGCTAGACCAAATATCAGCAGAGATATTTCTGCCAATGTCAACAAGTGTGATTAGCACCTGGTTCCCAATAAACTAATCTGGGCCCTCCTTTAGCTTTTACAACCAATTCAGAATAGATCACGGACATACTTCACTTGTCCATTTTACCCAACAGTAAAACAGTCCAAAAACATAACAGTTTAGTAAAACTTGGCAGTAGTGCAGTCAATCCATAAGTGCAAGGATCATTCATGCTACACAAGTGACAGGCAATGACCATCTCTAATACAAATCTGACCATCGCCCCTTGAAATGTAATAACATTACCATAGCTGAATCCCACACTATCAACATCCTGGGGGTTACCACTGAGCAAAAACTGAACTAGAACAGCCATATTAATACTGTCACTACAATAGCAGGTCAGAGTTTGGAACTGCTCAGCATCATGGGGCCAGTTAGATTGGAGAGTATTCGGGATGATAATGTATTCTTGCTCTATGCCCTTTCTTAATAACTAGTTCAGACACATCTGGCTATTTGGCATGCTAAGTCAAAGCTGATGATGGTGTCAACATGGATGATCTTGGAACCACATGCCAAGAAAACACTAGTGAGAATGCACACCAAGCATTAGCTAGCCTGTCAGACATCCTCCTGTAACTGTGATAGTCAAAGTTGGTGGAGAACTTTATGATGGTACAGTCTTCCCCATTACACAGTCTCACCATCTTCCAGCTGCATTGCAGACCCAGAAGCACCAGAAGTCTCCTTCAAACAGGTGACCTGCTTCTCTGCACACCCTGTGAGGATATAGCAGCGTTCCCGGTCAAACCCAGGAATGCACCAAAACACTCCAGAAGTGTTCTCAAGCAATTTACTTTCGCACAAGCTCTTTAAAATCACAAAATCTTGCAGGTTGGGTGCCTGGCCCTTTAAATAACACTTTTTCAGGTCCATTCTGCAGCTGAGCATTTGATCTTCAGAGCAAATGATAAACAAATTAATTTAATGGACCATTAGGATGCAAGTATGGAAAATAACCATCAGATCAGCTGGTTGAGCTACATGACCTTGTGATAAGACAAACTTTATTGCTTCCAGCACTCTCACAAAACACCACATAAAGCAAATAGTAATGCAGCATGCTCCCTTGAAAGGGCTAAGCTTCTGCAACACCATCTCCAGTTAGGCTACAATCTAAATTTCTTGCCCTTTAGCCCAACAGGAAAGCTGTGTAAGGATTAGTGAAAAAAATACTGCACAAACAGATGATTAGGGAAATAACAACAAATTAAGATAGTAAAATAATGCTATAGTAAAGCATGAGATAGTAGGAACTGCAGATGCTGGAGAATCCGAGACAACA